CAAGAACCCAGACACCATCAAACAAAATTAAATACGTATCCGTGCACGTTTCTGCATTGAATCTGGTTTAAGGTTTAGTCTGTGGAAAATAACCTGTGTCCATATACACGTGACAGGCCACAACATCAAGGTCTAGACTGTATACCTAGATTTTCGTTGTGAGTACCCTTTAAGTGACGCAAATCTTGTCAATTCACTACTTACGGGCTATCATCACAAAGTTTCATTAGTTGATACAATCATAATCAGGGGCTTATTCCCATTAGACTGGTTCATAATATAGTGGACAACAAACCAACCATAGAGAATGATTCGATAAAGCGTGCTGGCACATTTGTACAATAGATCGTTGCTTTTAGGAAGACAGCACTGTACGTTTACTTTGTAGGCAGATCGATATTTAATGTATTTCAATGTTGCTCATGGTTTATACTGTTCATGTGGTAGCTTGAGACGACTCCGGTAGAGTTAACTCTACTAGTTTTATTTTGCGTACTAGTAGTACAGTTACGTAAGGTTTAAATGTTATATTTAATAGGAATTTGTCATGAAAGCATAAACTTTGACATGAATTATATGTATATGTCCGATATTTAGGATTTGCGTGCTCATGTATCCCTCGCAAGATCTTTGACATCTCTTGAATATTTTAAAGCTTAACTATCGATATAAGAAAATGAAATGCGCTGGAAAATTTGTTTAGTGCGAAATGGAAAATATATTTTCATCCCACTTATATGAACAATCAATTTAGAAATTATAAAAACTGCCCAAATTTTGTATCACACTTCTGACTTCTTATTGAATATTTTGTACGTGTCTTCTTTTGTCTTCTGTTGTAAGTGCTCAACAAGGTGTTTGTGTCCGGACCTTTCTTCAGGTTAACGGTGTTTGAGACAGTGGCAAATCCTTCACTCCGATTAAATTTATAACGTATTTAAGTTGCGTTTTTGACATACTCAGGGTTGAAATTTGGTTGTCTAAAATCACAATTTTACGGCCAATTATCTAATTTGTTAGTGCAAACAGTATATTGTCATTTAATTGACATTAACCATTGTATGATTGAAAAGCTTGCTTTCAAATGCGAAAAGAAGGTTTGGTGCTACCACAAGATTAAGTAGAGATGGTGATGGCAGTTATATAAATAGTTAGATTCGTGACTACTGCTAAATAGTTAGATTAACGTAACTTACAACTGACAAATTGATAGGTTGCACAGCTAGTTAAGCACTAGAGAGTAATTTCCAGAAAACGCTCCTCACGTGACGTGAGACGTCACACTATTATGTAATTTATAGATATACGGTAAATTAAAGGTTTGATAGGAGGATGTTGTAGGTGCGCACTGTCGACTCTGCACACCTCACCGACAATGCAGTTTTCTGAACCTACACACCTTTCATGATTCAAATTTGAAATTGTTCAATATTCATAATCTCCCTCAACGTCAATTGTTCAACATTTTTAAACGGTTTTTAAATGTCTCGACAAATTCTTGTATTTAGCTACGCCGAATTTGCATATATAATGGGGACCTCCCCTATATTTATAAATTTATTACGATGATTTTCTTGCAGCTTGGCAGTAGGAGAAATGACCTTTTATTTTAATACCAAAGCTGTTAATTTGCTTGCCACAACTTCACTAAGTGGTTTATTTTAGCCGTTTATGATAATACTATTACTACCATCCCACACCTTATAACTACAGGCCAAGTGAAATACCGTCTTATATCTCTACTTTTCCTAATACTGCCATTTTTACAACCACTTCCCTCAGTTAATAATGGTATATAGTTAAAAACAAAAAACAATTATTTTTCGTTTCACATTTGTGATTTTCCCTCTCAGAGCCCATTATGTTGCGATGGCTGACACTAGCAGTATTGGGTGATATCCTCCTATCAGCGATTGTGAGCAGTTTGGGGATGTACGATTGTTATGATACAAAATGTAGAGGAGATCTGGATTACAATCATACTTTCATCCAGTGTAACAACTACCATAACTACTGCAACGCAACTAAAAAAGGTGAAGCCTCTCTCGGTACTTTGATTATTAAAGGCGTATCTGGATACCAGATTTATTGTTATAATCGTCGTCATAATATTCGTGTGCGTGGATTGACTTAAAAGTTAATGTTCATATTTTATTAATATTTCATTAATATTTCATTAATATTTCATTAATATTTCATTAATATTTCATTAATATTTCATTAATATTTCATTAATATTTCATTAATATTTCATTAATATTTCATTAATATTTCATTAATATTTCATTAATATTTCATTAATATTTCATTAATATTTCATTAATATTTCATTAATATTTCATTAATATTTCATTAATATTTCATTAATATTTCATTAATATTTCATTAATATTTCATTAATATTTCATTAATATTTCATTAATATTTCATTAATATTTCATTAATATTTCATTAAAATTTCATTAATATTTCATTAATATTTTATTAATATTTTATTAATATTTTATTAATATTTTATTAATATTTTATTAATATTTTATTAATATTTTATTAACATGTTATCATTATTTAATTTCAGGATATCCGGTTTGTCAGTTTAGTGAGGTGTACCATGGGCACGGTGTCGTGTGTAACGTAACTTCTCAGGGGTCAGTTATCTAAACTTAAACCTTATTCTTAATACATATTATTAAATTCTTATCATTTTAAATTGTGACTGGCCTTTAAAAAAATCGTAAGTTTTATCTCTTTTGATATCTTTGATAATAAATGTAAATAACGTCGATCCTCTCGTTGTTGCAATAGATCTGATTTTGAACTCGAGTAGAATTATATACACAGATATCTTGCCATCTCTATTTACTTGCGACTGTAATGTATTATCCAACATGTTAAGTACGTTCAACATGTTAAAAAACATGTTAAACATGTTAAACAACATGATAAATATGTTAAACAACATGTTAAACAACATGTTAAACTAAACAACATGTTAAACAACATGTTAAACAACATGTTATACAACATGTTAAACATGTTAAACATGCTAAACATGTTAAATATGTTAATCGTGTTAAACAACATGTTAAACAACATGCTAAACAACATGTTAAACAACATGTTAAACAACATGTTAAACAACATGTTAAACAACATGTTAAACAACATGTTAAACAACATGTTAAACAACATGTTAAATATGCTAAATATGTTAAATATGTTAATCATGTTAAACAACATGTTAAACAACATGTTAAACAACATGTTAAACAACATGTTAAACAACATGTTAAACAACATGTTAAACAACATGTTAAACAACATGATAAACAACATGTTAACCAACATGTTAAACAACATGTTAACCAACATGTTAACCAACATGTTAAACAACATGTTAAACAGCATGTTAAACAACATGTTAAACAACATGTTAAATGTGTTAAACACCCTCTATCCCCCCCCCAGATATGGACAGCGCTACACGTGTGGGTCGGACAGGCTGACGGGGCGCGCGTACTGCAAAGATCAGCCCAGTATAGTGAAGATAGTAGTGGGAGTGTTCTGCACCATGCTCGCACTTGCTATTCTCATGTTTATCAGCACGTGGTACGTCAACTCTAGAAGTGTTCAGATTGCCGGGTTGAGGCGGAATCGGAGAGCAGAAAGGGAGAAAGAAATTGTTTGAAATGTGATAAGCTACGATTATCCTTAATTCTAATAGATTTCATGAATGTAAGCGCCGCAGCAATGAAGCAGAGAGTGCTAGTTTTATAACACACTTCACAAATGTATAATACATTTTCCAGATAGATACTATGGGAATTTATCTAGTGGGAACGTGAATTTGTAGAGAACAAGAACTACAACGTCGAATTTTTATATATTTTTGTTCTGTTCTGATGTATAATTTATTACCTAAAACTTTTCATTATTTATTGCGTTAAATATTCGTTGGTTGTGTCACCCAATTCAATAGAAAAGCTACTATCATTAATTATACCATAACTGGTAATTTATTAAATCAAAACTTTGCATCCAAAATCTACCTACCATGGTTTTATAGGGTATTTTAAGGAGTATAAGAGCGAGCAAATTGTCCTAGCTGCCGGGTCACATACGCAGAATTTGCACCAGACCAATCATTTATTGCAACTATTAATTTGAATTGATTTGTAAACTAAATAAATTCAGCTACTTTTAGTTGCGTACAGAATTAAAATTCACCAGAAATTTTCAACGAAACACCACTTAATATTATATAGTTCTCCCTTGCCGAACATTTTTTAAACTCTGAAAAACTGCATTATAACCTGCATAAACACGGCGTTACTGGTTGCAGAGGGGATTAAAATAAACCCGAATAATCGTTGCAGATCATTACCCTGACCATTTGGCGGTTTTCAAAATAATTAATTTTTCAAAATAATCAGTTTGTCTCACTATGGTTTTCATTCGATAACAGTTTAAATTGTATAGGATTCCTTAATAGGATCTACAAGATGAAGTTGAAAAGCATTAAATCACCAAGATCAACATTCGATTTCCGATACCGAACATTATGTTACTTATTTAAAAACTTTGAGATTGGCCGCCGTGTATTTTATTCAATCATACGATTTAGGGACGATACAAGTAGTTGAAATTTGGAATAAAGTTTCACTGCAGATGAATTCTTCTACCTTTCTGTTTCTTAACCGTGCGTTAACCGTGCCTTAAGAACCGTGCCTTATGTAACCCTTGTGCCTTAACCGTGCCTTAACCGTGCCTTAACCGTGCCTTAACTGTGCTTTAACCGTGCCTTAACCGTGCGTTAACCGTGTTATACCACACTACCGAATTGCCTAACATATACAGTATACACCTATACTAAAAAATTTAGCTTTCGTATATTTTCACATCGTTGAAGATCATGCCAAAAATGTTGTACATACATATAATTATAGGAGTGATGAGAGATAATGAAAGAATTAAAAATGAATAAACAAAGAAATACTCACTGAGATAACTGTCGGGGTTCTGATACTGATACTGGTGTAAGTTGACCACCAGGAAGACAAGAGATCCGGGACTGAAGAAGAACTGATGTGTTGCATCGTAAAGAGGGTTACCAGAGTGGTCCCACAAAATAAAAGCCATGTTAGGATCCTCAACCGGAATCCACCGGGTAACCTCAATTCCAGCAGTCCGTTCCAAGTCCTCCTTTACACATGATTTAGTTAGACAGTGGATGAAGGAGCTTTTTCCTGCCCCCTCACTTCCCAGAACTGTTATCTTTAGTCTGGATGACCGAGATGAACCTGACCGTTTTATCTCTTCAAAGTAAGCTGTTATTGCAGATAAACCTCGCTCCCATACTTCCCGAGGAGGAAAATGTATGGGGTTATTTTTAGCATCAAACACCAGCAAACTCTGCAGATTATTCATTGTTTCCGGTAGAGTTCTGATGTAATTGTTTCTGATGTGCAGATACCGGAGGCTAGTCAGTGAATCTAAGAAGGTCGGTAGGCACTGCAGACCATTACTGTTTGCTTTGAGGGTCTGCAGTTTTTTCATTCCGCTTATCTTATCATTAAGATAGCTTATTTCGTTGTCTCCTATGTGGAGCTCAATCAGTCCGGACAGTTCACACACACAATCTGGTAGAAAAGAGAGTTTGTTATTGTGGACGTCTAGAGTTTCCAACAAAACTAGGTTCCCTAAAGAGACCGGGAGAGTTGAGAGTTTGTTTGAACTGATTCTCAAAACTCTGAGTCGAGAACAGGACCCAATCCCCTCGGGTAATCTCTCGATATCGTTACAGTACGCCTGGAGACGCTCCAGAGCTGACATGTTCTCGATAGATTCAGGCAGAGTTCTAATGTTGTTGTACCTTATATCCAGTACTCGGAGCTTCCTTAGTCGACCCATAGAATCAGGAAGTGACTGGAGAGTATTATGGGACACGTACAAACAAACAAGATTACACAGCTCGCCCATCTGATCGGGCAGTTCGCTCAACTTGTTGTTACTTAGGGAGAGTTCAGTGAGACTTGATAGTTGGAGCAGAGTGGGAGAGAAAACTCTGAGTCTGTTGTTGCTGAGAATCAGTTTACTGAGTTTACACAGGGTCGCTAAGGAGTCTGAGAGTTCTGATATGAAGTTGTTGTCGATGTTCAGGGAAGTTAAACTGACAAGTTTGATGATGTCGCCCGTTATTTCGATGAGCTCGTTGTACGAGGCGTCCATCCAGCGTACGTTGGCTATGTCAGGACGTTGGAACAGCTCTTTTGCGATGTTTTGTAATTTAGAGTTACTAATATCAACACCTGGACATCCCTGCTTCACCTGAAATATTGTTTTGTAAAATATATGTAAATATACCCAGTCTATCCCAGTAATTATCACTTTGTCAGAACTCTAAATAATCAAATCGAAATGTTCAGTATAATGTCAGAACTATCCCGTCTGCATTTTAAGAAATCAACTTTCTCTAAATTAATCTGTAAATTGTCCACTTAACGTCCCAAGCATTTGATCGGTAAGATCACTTTAGCAGTTTCGCGAGTTAAGCCAACCTCAAACAAGGAGGGCTCCTCGTGACTTTGTGAGCTACTCCTGTTTAACTAAATATAAACTAGTACCTCACCTGTATAGTGATAGGTTTGTCAGTTCGCCGCTTGGAGCTGTCTCTCCTTAGGATATCCTTGTCACGTTTCCTCCTACTGCTGTGGTGTCTTGACAAGTTCGTCTTCCGGGGTAGTCCCAAACTGCCCGGTACACCTAGACCCTGCAATATTGTTGTTTAAAAATTTGTTTAAAAATTTGTTTAAAAAATTGTTTAAAAATGGGGACTTTCCTTGAAGTTTTGCCTCTAAGAAATAATACATTTTTGATAAGAACAGTTAGGTTACAGTTAGGTAAATAGTAAAAGCTAGATGTCAAATTCCGAAAAATAACCTGAGTGGAAGCTTCGTTTGTTGACTCAGATCCGAGATCAACAACACTGTTACTGATCTCGATATTGATGCCCGGTATCCCCGGTTGACTTGATGCTCCAGCTCCCATCCTTCTTCACTCTCAGTGACACACAATGTCTCTCAGTAACACTCAGTTACACTCAGTAACACTCAGTTACACTCAGTTACACTCAGTAACACTCAGTTACACAGTTCTACCCCGGAACAGTTTGTTGTGGTCACTACCCCTTTGTATCTCATGCCGCCTTACATTGTCTGAGGGTGAAAATACATAGTAAATAGAGAAATGATGATAAAAAGCAAACTTATGGATACAAATTAACCAAACCGCGACAGAATATGGCAAAAATTGGACTAGGGATGTTTAATGAATGTCATGGATTGATACAATTGAAACTCAGGAGTTACGGCGTATTATAGGCACTGTGCATTGTATAGTAAAGTTCACAAAAATTAGAGCATTCTGTTACAGGAAAAACCAGCTGTCGATCCATATGAATCACACAATATCTAATGACTTAGAAACCACACAAATGTTAGCAAGGACGAACAGTAACTACAGAATAAGTGAGGACGAACAGTAACTACAGAATAAGTGAGGACGAACAGTAACTACAGAATAAGTGAGAACGAACAGTAACTACAGAATAAGTGAGGACGAACAGTAACTGCAGAATAAGTGAGGACGAACAGTAACTGCAGAATAAGTGAGGACGAACAGTAACTACAGAAATGTTAGTGAGGACGAACAGTAACTACAGAATAAGTGAGGACGAACAGTAACTACAGAATAAGTGAGGACGAACAGTAACTACAGAATAAGTGAGGACGAACAGTAACTACAGAATAAGTGAGGACGAACAGTAACTACAGAATAAGTGAGGACGAACAGTAACTACAAAACTGTTAGTGAGGATGAACAGTAACTGCAGAATAAGTGAGGACGAACAGTAACTGCAGAATAAGTGAGGACGAACAGTAACTACAGAATAAGTGAGGACGAACAGTAACTACAGAATAAGTGAGGACGAACAGTAACTACAGAATAAGTGAGGACGAACAGTAACTACAGAATAAGTGAGGACGAACAGTAACTACAGAATAAGTGAGGACGAACAGTAACTACAGAATAAGTGAGGACGAACAGTAACTACAGAATAAGTGAGGACGAACAGTAACTACAGAATAAGTGAGGACGAACAGTAACTACAGAATAAGTGAGGACGAACAGTAACTACAGAATAAGTGAGGACGAACAGTAACTACAGAATAAGTGAGAGCGAACAGTAACTACAGAATAAGTGAGGACGAACAGTAACTACAGAATAAGTGAGGACGAACAGTAACTACAGAACTTAGTGAGGACGAACAGTAACTACAGAATAAGTGAGGACGAACAGTAACTACAGAATAAGTGAGGACGAACAGTAACTACAGAATAAGTGAGGACGAACAGTAACTACAGAATAAGTGAGGACGAACAGTAACTACAGAATAAGTGAGGACGAACAGTAACTACAGAATAAGTGAGGACGAACAGTAACTACAGAATAAGTGAGGACGAACAGTAACTACAGAATAAGTGAGGACGAACAGTAACTACAGAATAAGTGAGGACGAACAGTAACTACAGAATAAGTGAGGACGAACAGTAACTACAGAATAAGTGAGGACGAACAGTAACTACAGAATAAGTGAGGACGAACAGTAACTACAGAATAAGTGAGGACGAACAGTAACTACAGAATAAGTGAGGACGAACAGTAACTACAGAATAAGTGAGGACGAACAGTAACTACAGAATAAGTGAGGACGAACAGTAACTACAGAATAAGTGAGGACGAACAGTAACTACAGAATAAGTGAGGACGAACAGTAACTACAGAATAAGTGAGGACGAACAGTAACTACAGAATAAGTGAGGACGAACAGTAACTACAGAATAAGTGAGGACGAACAGTAACTACAGAATAAGTGAGGACGAACAGTAACTACAGAATAAGTGAGGACGAACAGTAACTACAGAATAAGTGAGGACGAACAGTAACTACAGAATAAGTGAGGACGAACAGTAACTACAGAACTGTTAGTGAGGACGAACAGTAACTACAGAATAAGTGAGGACGAACAGTAACTACAGAATAAGTGAGGACGAACAGTAACTACAGAATAAGTGAGGACGAACAGTAACTACAGAATAAGTGAGGACGAACAGTAACTACAGAATAAGTGAGGACGAACAGTAACTACAGAATAAGTGAGGACGAACAGTAACTACAGAATAAGTGAGGACGAACAGTAACTACAGAATAAGTGAGGACGAACAGTAACTACAGAATGTAGTGAGGACGAACAGTAACTACAGAATAAGTGAGGACGAACAGTAACTACAGAATAAGTGAGGACGAACAGTAACTACAGAATAAGTGAGGACGAACAGTAACTACAGAATAAGTGAGGACGAACAGTAACTACAGAATAAGTGAGGACGAACAGTAACTACAAAACTGTTAGTGATGACGAACAGTAACTACAGAATAAGTGAGGACGAACAGTAACTACAGAATAAGTGAGGACGAACAGTAACTACAGAATAAGTGAGGACGAACAGTAACTGCAGAATAAGTGAGGACGAACAGTAACTACAAAATAAGTGAGGACGAACAGTAACTACAAAACTGTTAGTGAGGACGAACAGTAACTACAGAAATGTAAGCGAAGAAGAGTAGAAACTACAAAACTGAAAGTAGGGATTAACAGTTACTGCAAAACAGTTCGAACAGTGAAGAAGAAGTTGAACAGTAACTACCGAACCGTAAACTTGCAAACGCCAAGATGCAGACAGCAGCTCTCTCCCTCTGTTGAAACTTGAGCTGTGTAAACACCACACCGGCACAATCGTCATGTTGAACTATTGTCCGTATGTTCCTACGTCCGTGTGTGCGTGCGTTCGTGTGTGTATGTGTGTGTGTATGTGTGTGTGTAATGTGTATGTGTTAAACAAATTTACTAAATGAAAAGTACACTATTAATAGCTAAGAATAACTGCCGGGTCCAGGACAGAGTTCTATATATTATATAGATTGCTCTGCCTGGTAGCTGTGAGAGCGAGAGAGCAACTACTACCTGTGCCCATATGGCATAATTACTGCGATTGAAAAGTAAAGAGGTCACCAGCTAAAGGATTAAAGTGTTCAAATCACGTGGTCCAGACTATGATATTTGATTGGCTGAGTTCGCGGATAGGAGGCGGTGATTGGTTGAGAGGGTTGAGTGAGAGGCTTTATTGGATATGACCCTAAGCAGTCTCTCTCTCTCGCTCTCTCTCGCTCTCTCTCTCTCTCTCTCTCTCGCTCTCTCTCTCTCTCTCTCTCTCTCTCTCTCTCTCTCTCTCTCTCTCTCTCTCTCTCTCTCTCTCTCTCTCTCTCTCTCTCTCTCGCTCTCTCTCGCTCTCTCTCTCTCTCTCTCTCTCTCTCTCTCTCTCTCTATCGCTCTCTCTCTCTATCTCTAGCAAGGCTATTTAAAAACAAGCAGCCACTATGACAGCATTTACCCTCTATCAGACTAATAATCGAATAAAGCTGTTGAGTGGGATTTAACTCTACAATTTAATTTTAACACACTTTTTACCCCGGTGGAACTGTGTTAATTGCACATAGTGTTATTGAGAATAAGTTTCAAGGTTATTGTTACTCGTCCTACGATTGTGCTACAATCTGAAACAAGGTTTGTGTTGGGAATATAGTAAGGGTTGTTGTATTAGATACTGATGTATAGGATCCTGGGGTTAGATTATAGCTTAATGTAATATATGTATAGTATAGTAATATTAATTAATATAAGATAGGGTTGAGGACAGCGACAGAATAAGTGAGGGTAGGATAGTTGAAATGCTTCGAGCAATTAATGTTGAAGCTTTGGTTCTATAGAGTGGATGATAGGGTTATGGGTAGAGGATAATAAAACAGGATCAGTTTATAGTGTTACGATCAAGGTTGAGTGTAATGAACAATGCAGATAGACTAAACGAACAAAGCACCCCTAGTATACAGTATACTTCCTCTTACTAGATCATTATCATAAGATGCAAGAGTTCTGTCTCCCGTTACCAAGCGATGCAACGATCCTAACAATACATGATAACAATTATTACTGCGAAATTTAAAGCCAACACCAAAAAGTGTGACTACCACGATACAAAAGAGGCCCCGTAACATTTACAACAAAACAAACTAGTCAAACATCTCCTATGAAAGTTACTGTGCACGGAAGCTAATGGCAAGGCACCACATGGTGTGAGCTGTATCTGCATAAACACTGTGTACACTGTACAAGTGTACACAATAGCAGTATAGGTTTATAATGGTACAGGACCATCTCGTGTAGTTTGTCATTATATAAAGCAAATCCTCCAAAGATTACCATTATAGCTTGCCCAGTACGGTACCTGGATAGTGGATAACCAATTATAAGTTCAACAATTGTAAAAGACAAAGACGTAATTAGGCAAACGTTCAGGTAATGAACCAAACAATTGATTTTAACAAATTCTAGTCAACAGCTATACTATACTAACTAGGATGAAACACACTACCTAGTTATCTACACAAATACTGAAAACAAAACACATAAATTACACTTGCACGATCTATATTCCATTACTAATAAAGAATCCTGGATGATTAGTCAAAGCAATTGAACTATGAACGAATTCTTTAATAAGCCTCGTCCACCCCTTACTATAACTTTATGAGAAGAATACGGAGGAGAAAGAACTGGAAGATGAGGAGGAGGAAGGGGAGGAGTGAGGAGGAGAAGGAAGACTATAACTCTTACTATTTAATAAACGCAACTATACTACATCTGACATGTAGTCGAGAATAGAGACGCCAACATGCAATTACTAAAATATGTAGTCTCAAGTCTGCATTCTTAGACTATGGTGTAAGAACTTTATACACTTAATAGCACTGTGTGTAGCTCTGTACACAATGTAGGTACATTGCTAAGTTCTACATATTCCCAACAAATTGCATACAGTATAAAGCATAAACCTTCAGCCACAACATAACCATAGTGATGGATGTGATAGATATTAGGTAATATTGTTAGGTGGAAGGCAACTAGGAGCTAATCAGCTGGAGTTACTATAACTACTATTAAATAAGGTATAAAGCAGTGCAAGTTTAAAACAAACAGATCGAGGCAGACAGCAGTAGGATAATGCAAGCTCAGCATGACATGTCACGTGACGTTT